AGTCATTCAAGCATCTGAACTGTGAAAAGGTTATCAATTCCTTACATCTAGTGATGATGCAAGAATTACATATAAAATAGCATCTACCAAGGATTCTGAAAGTATCCTATGAAGAGCTTCGTTCGTCCTTTTTCTCTTTTTTGAAAACAGGGTAGAAAAACATTGTCATTTTTTGTTTTGCCCAATTTTTCTAATTACTAGAATATGTGGAATACATGATTTGTAACAAAGAGAGTCCCCTTGCACCATGGCTGTGAACACTCACTTTCACATCACAGTGTATAGAACACACACTCATGTTGATAAAGGAATCTTCTGCATTTAGCACATTATGGGCAAGCAGATCCTTTTGAAGATGACGACAAAATAAATCAAAGCACTGTGACGCACACGGCTGCTAAACGATGATTGCCTAAGGACAGTGATACCCATGCAGCTAATGCAGGCGACACTGTGAAGTTTAATTCTGGGAACACATCAATGTCCATTCAAGAACATACACATTATTCAGAAGGTAATAATAATATGACCTAATGAATCTAGTGTAACATGAAAACATGGCTACAATTACATATTTCAAATGGAGAATCACAGAGATTAATTACAAACCACACATGTCATGTTCAGTCATGTCCGACTCTTTGCAACCCCATGGACTGCAGCCTGCCAGGCTCCTCTCTCCAAAGTATTTTCCAGGCAAGAATACTGGAGTGGGTAGCCATTTCCTCCTTCAGGGGATCTTCCCGACTCAGGGATCGAACCTGCATCTCCTGCATTGGCAGGCAGAATCTTTACCACTGAGCCACCTGGGAATCCCTACAATCTCCAAGTAACTATAAATCATAAAGTATGCTGCTAATCAAGTAATCCTAAATTCTAGGTTTTATTGTAAGATAAATATAGCATGTGTCTTAATGACCGCTGGTTAAATTACAAGTAAACAGTGCTCTCATCATCTACCTTTCTAGAGAATAATTTAGCATTATTTATGCACAGGCTTCGAAGTATGCATAACACCTGTGGTAACTGATTAGCAGTGGACACAAAGATGCATGGAAATAGGATGCTCACTCACTGCATCAGGCTGAGTACAAACCACAAAGTTAAAGGCAAATAGCTCAACAGTGGGAGAAGGGTTCAATTACCATACGCCACAAAATGAAAACTTATTTTTAAAATGTTCTTAGGGTATATTTAAAGACATATGCCTAACTATGATAAATCAACACATTTCAATCATAATTTTATAAATGTGTGCATAAAATACATTGACCTATGAACCAAAGACTAAAAGAGATAAACCTACATGGCAACAGTAATTAGCTCTGGGCAGTGAGATTATAGTCTATTTTGTTTTCTTCTTTAGGTTCTTCTAAATTTTCTGCAGTAAACAGTAATTTCTCTCACTTAAAAGGAATGACAGGGGCGTCTTTGGGGGCTGAATTTCAACATAAAAATCTACCACAATACATAGGCATCAGTCCCCCAAATAGACAGGTGTGGTTCTTTCTTCCCATATCCAGCTGTAAGTAGTAAGCCTGGTATCTATTCCTGGGTCTCTTCCTCTTCCACTCATTCTAGCCTATTAACAACCAACGCCTGGAAAAAACACAATTACCAATAATAACCCCTAAAACACACACCTATATGCAAATATTTGTATTTTTCTTTAACTAAAAATAAAACTACAGCCACTGTGTCGAAATCCCTAAGGAAGGCCAATATCACAGCCCTACATGAGCTGCATCTTCTTCCTACTTCCCTGCCTCCTTCTACATCCCTTCCCCTCTGCTCACTGTGGATAGCACTGCTGCTCTTTCTTCTCTTCCAGGGTCTCTCCAGGAATTCTCACATTTCAGGGAAGCTGAACTAACTACAGAGTCCTTCCTGCACATGTCACACAGCGCACTCTTTCTTGTCACTGAGGGCTCAGCTGGAACATCACCTCCTCAGAGAGGTACTCCATGACTTCCCCTTGCCCTCCCCCAGCAAATGGTGTCTGGCTCCACCCCCTGCACACATCCCCCTGCAAGACATTTTATCAACATCATCCTGCTCAATGTTCTTCAGAGCACTAACACTATCCGAAATTACTCTGTTTCTTTGCTTACTGTCTGGCCTGAGCATCAGCTTTAGCATTTATAACCTCCATGAACTTGACAAAATCACTCAAGGCACTAAGTCTCATTTGAGAATAACCCAGGGTTACAAGTCATTAAGTGTCTAGTCTATGATAAATGTTCAATATGATGGTAAATTGTTTTAATTAATGAAAAATAGAACCTTACCTCTTAAATGACAATTCATCGTATTTAAATGGACACAGATACATTTTAAAGACTAGAGGACAAGACAGAAAAGATGCACAACGGTTAGAGGCCTCTGCACCTGAAGATCAGTATCTCAATGAGTTTGCTGGGGTTTCACTCTGCCTCACACATCCCATGCTGGGTGCTGGATAATGCAGCAGTCCAGAAACACCAACAGCGTATGTGCATGTGTGCACACACACACACAAATACATGGGGAACATCAGCTCTCTCAATCAGACACACACACACACATACAAATACAAAGGAAACATCAGCCCTCTCAAGCCAGAAGATCAGGAAAGGGACAGCCTGGAAAGACCAAAAACATTCAGACGACAGCTACTTTACTTCAGCCAAGCACCATGAAAAACCATGGCCCCTGCAGCAAAGGGCAAGAGGGGAGCCTCGACTCCCACCCTCATGTGATTGTAATAAGGCATCCAACACTCCTCCCTGCCAGGGAGACAGAAAGGACCACAAGGAGAGCAGGGACTTTCATCCCAACCCAGCAACAACAAGCCCCCTTGGTCCCAGCCATGGTATCAGCAGAGATACTGATGGGATGCTCAGACCTCCACCCATATTAGCAGCAGAGATGCTCCTCTCCCCATTCCTGCTGAGATGGCATCATGAGAGGCTAGTGAGAGGCCTCCACCTCTGCCAACTTCTGCTAGGAACAGGGCGCCCTCCTGTACCCAACCAGCGTCAGTGGAAGAGCAATGAGGAGCTCTTCCCCCCACCAGCCGGGAAGGCATCAGAGGTGGTGGTGGGAAGCCTGGGCTCCCACCCCTGCCCAGCAGGAAGGAGGAGCTCTACCACATCCCTGGGGTGTCAACAGAAGTCCACAGGGCAATCTGGGTTTCCACACCAACAGAAGAACAAAGCAACGCCATCCTTTCTCTGCCAGTTCAGTGTCAGAGGAGACCCACCAAAACAGGAGATTTCAATAAAACCCAGAATCCTAAAACATAACACCCAAAATGTACAGTTCATACAGAGCTTCCGTTTAACAAGATGACCGAGTTCTCGAGCTCTGTCTCACAACAATGAAAATACCCAATGCTACTAACTACACGTAAGAATGGTTGAGAGAGCAAATTTGATGTTTTTTACCACAATTTAAAATATTTAAGTAACAATACTAATTAAATTCAAAAGATTATTTTTCAATTAACAGGTAATTATTCAATCATTAAGATATATGGAATATTAAACATTATAAAATAAATATAAAATCATTTAATTAATGCATATTATTTTACTACCTTTGTGAAATACCGTGTTTTAAACTCAATCAATCCATGCCTGTGTGAAGAAAAATAAACCGCCAAAACCCTCAGCCTCTCTTACCACAATTTACACAGCAAAACTACTCAAATGGTGATCTTTCTAACACAAGATAACAACCTTCAATGACTTGGTAAATTAAATAGCAAAAATTAGATACACAAACTATACTTTCTGTGAGGCTCAAATTTCTTAGCAGAATCGAAATCAGACTAATAAAACCCAAGAACTGGTTTGCTCTCTGTTTTGACTTTTAAAATCAAGTTTACTATGTAAACATGACAATTATTAATTATAGAAATTTTTAGCTTTATAAAAAATCAAATTTAACACATTGCATTTTATGCAGAAGAACCACAGCAAACACTATATTTAAGTGGCCCCATTCCACACTTTTTAGCAGTGTTACCTGCTGAGAATGTTTCAGAACACTCTAATTTGACAGCTATTATCCCTCAGAAAAAGTTAGATAATTGGTCCAATAAGTGTAAAGAACATTGTATACTACACCACCCTTAGGAAGATTCATGATACACATGAGCAACTGAAAAACTGGGAGAGGTTGTACAACTGGAAATATCTCTGACTCACTGCTTTCCAAATGTGTGCATGTAGCCATGGTCCCGACTTTCATCTGCTAACACCTCACCGGACACTAACGGTCAAGGGGAGGACTTCTCCAACCATAACCTCCCACCCAGTCCTCTAGAGACCTCATTAAAATGTCAGCTCTGACTCGGCAGGTCAGGGAGGGGCCTGAGGGCCTGCGGTTCCGAAACGCTCACAGGTGATGCCAACGTTTCTGGCTCAGGGATCGCTCCTCAGCAGGCCGCTAGAGAAGATACTGAGGACAGTTACAACAGAGACTTCTTTAAAGCCATGTGGTTTTGTGATATGAACTGAACACTTACAGACTCTACAGTACATAAAATACAGGTATATCAAAGGATTAGAAGGAGGCGAAGTTAAAAACAAGAGAAAGGGTGCTCTGAAGGTTCAGTGTGCTGGCGGAGTATTAGGACAAGGAAAGGAATAAAAATGAGTCAGGGTGAGCAGAGAATATAAAGGGACCCCTCCAAAAGGCAGGCAAAGGACAGAGAGATGGGGGCTGAGGACAAAGAGGCATGAGAAATATTAGCATGGAGGAAGGATTCATAAATTTTCTAACGTTTCATTACTAAAATGGGGCAAGTCGGCAGAGCCATTTACCGGATTTCTATTTTAATCACTAAAAGACTCTTTTAACATCTTCAGATGAATGGTCTGTGGTACAGAGGTTTGGCAAAATTCAAAAGGGCCCTCTTGAGATGAAAAATAAATTCTACAGAGATATATTGCTTATGGAGCCACTAAAACTGCAGGAGAAAACAACCATTTTTAAAGTGGAATCATAGGTCAAACCTTTTCTTGGATTAGCCTCTGAAGATGAATCCCACAGGACAGCATTGCACTGAATAAGGTCAACATGTACTGCTGGACTTTGCAGATGGCAGAGGCCAGGGAGTGTATTACCGAGGTCAGTCCCACCTTCTCAATAACATTCTGGAAGGCAGTAGGAGAATGGCGAGTGATTCTGCACAAGGCCTGCAGCGAGAGGAGAAGAGACACATTAGAAGACTCCAAGAGCATGAACCAACCCCCAGAAAGAGAGCAAATACTTCTGTGGAAAGGAGAAAAAGGGGCTTAACTTGCTCCTTCATCACTTATCTTGGCAAAAGTAATTTGAACAATTTAGACACATTTAAAATTAAAACAATAATCCAACTTCCAATAAAATTTAAGTTGGGAAGCATGGGGCAGAGAGGGAAGTGGGAAGGGGGTTCAGAATGGAGAGGACACATGTATATCTATGACTGATTCATACCAATGCATGGCAAAAACCATCACAATAATGCAAGGTACTTATTCTTCAATTAAAATAAAAAATTTTTAAATTTAAACATTTTAAGTTATAAAACATTAGAAAACCTTACAAGTATCATGTACGTTATGCTGCTGCTGCTAAGTCGCTTCACTCGTGTCCAACTCTGTGCAACCCCATAGATGGCAGCCCATCAGTCCTCTGTGCCTGGGATTTTCCATGCAAGAGTACTGGAGTGGGTTGCTATTTCCTTCTCCTATGTATGTTATGAGTTAACTAAAATGATAAAAGTTTTTCTGTATAGACTCATAAATTATTTTAAGCAATGAAAACATTAAGATAAGCCTTCTTTATGTAGACACTAAGTTAAAGGCTGAAGAAACTGTCATAAAAGTAAATATTTAACGTTTATTGTTTAGTATGTGAAGAACACGATCTGAGACTATCTAAAGACTATCTAACTTAATTCTCCCAAATAACATTTGAAAGGTATTATTATTAGCCCCATTTTATAGATCATAAAACTAAGGGACAGAGTATTTAAGTAATTTGCTCAAAGGCATAAAGCTAGCAAGTGGCAATGATAGAAGTCAAACCAAAGTAATCAAGACCCCTGAGCTAGTTCTCAAGTTCTCATAGACTATTAAAGATGAAATTTACAATTAACAAACTAATAGAATTTAGTAAGTATTGTAATAGAAGTAGGCTCAATTATGCTTGGAAAAGCACAAAAAGTTAAGTCAACAAAAGCTACAGAAGGAGAATGGTAACTGAGTCAGTTTTTGAAGGTGAGTGGGAAATGGACAGGTGAAAAAGTAGATTAAGAAAATTCTAGCCAGAGAGAAGAGAACAAGTATTCACATGGAGACATGAAGATGAAGAGCAGGTTCTAGGAAGGGCGAGCTCTCTGGTGCAACTCTCAGGGGAAGAAGAGACAGAGAGAGTAGGAAAGAGGGGAAAATTATGACTCACCTACTGAGGAGATTATCTTTTCCCATTCTTGCCTCTTTTGCTGAAGATTAATTGACCACCGATGCATAGGTTAATTTCAGGCTCTGTGTTCCACTGATCTGTAGGTCTTGTTTTTGTGCCAACACCACACTGTTTTGATTAATGTAGCTTTATAATACAGTCCGAAGCCTAGGAGGGTGACACCTCCAGCTTCATAATTTTTTTCTCAAGATTGCTTTGGCTATGAGGGGTCTTTTGCAGTTCCACACAAACTTTAGGATTATTTTGTTCAACTTCTATGAAAAATGTCATGGGTATTTTGATAGGAATTCCATTAGATCTATGGATTGCTTTGAGTAGTATGGCCATTTTAATAATAGTAATTCTTCTAATACAAGAGCATGGGCTATCTTTTCCATGTCTTCCAATCATCTTCAACTTCCTTCATCAGTGTTTTATAGTTTTCAGAGTAGAGGTCTTTCACCTCTGTGGTTAAGTTTATTCCAAGGTATTTTAGTCTTTTTGATGTGATTTAAAACAGGATTTTTTTAAATTTCTGTTTCTGATAGTTCACTATTAGTGTATAGAAAAGCAACAAATTTCTGCCTATTAATCTTTTATCCTGAATCTTTGCTGAATTCATTTACCAGTTCTAATGGGTTTTTTTGTGGAGACTAGGTTTTTCTATATGAAGCATCATGTCATCTGCAGATAGTGACAGTTTACTTCTTCCTTTCCAATTTGGATGCCTTTTATTTTCCTTATCTGACTGCTGTGGCTAGGACTTCCAATACAATGTTAAATAGAAGTGATGACAGTGAGCATCCTTGTCTTGTTTCTGAATTTAAAGGAAAAGCTTTCAGCTTTTCACCACTGAGTATGATGTTAGTGTGGATATGTCAAAAATAGCCTTTATAATGTTGAGATAGGTACCCCTTATACCCACTTTAATGAAAGCTTTTTAGCATGAATGGATGCTAAATTTTGTCAAGTGCTTTTTCGGCATCTATTAAGATAATCATGTGATTTTTAAATTATTTCTTTTGTTAATATGATGTACCTGACTGACTGATTTGCAAATGTTGAACCATCCTTGGATCCCTAGAATAAATTTAACTTGATTATGGTGTATGATCCTTTTTATATACTGTTGGATTCATTTTGCAAATACTTTGTTGAAAATTTCTGCATCAGTGGTTCATCAAAGGTATTGGCCTGGTATTCTTATTTCTGTAGTGTCTTTGGTTTTGGAATCAGGCTGAAGTGGACTTGTAGAATGAGGTATCACCTCACACCTATCAGAATGTCTATCATCAAAAAGTCTACAAATAACAAATGTTGGAGAAAATGTGGAGAAAAAGGAACCCTTGTACACTGGTGGTAGAAATGTAAATTGGGGCATTCACTATGGAAAACAGCACGGAAGTTCCTCAAAATTCTAAAAATAGAACTACTATTTGGCCCTGCAATTCCACTCCTAGGAATATATCTACAAAAAAATGAGTACATTAATTTGAAAAGACAGATGAGCCCCAATGTTTGTAACAGCACTACTTAAAACACCCAAGATATGCAAGCAACTCCCAAAAAAGATAAGTGGACAAAGCAGATGTAGTGTATACACACACACAAACACACACACACAATGGAGTATCACCCAGCCATAAAAAAGAAGGAAATTCTGCCGTCTGCAGCAATGTAGATGGATCTAGAGAAAATATTGCCTAGTGAAATATATTTGACAAATACTGTATGGTACCACTTATATGTAGAATTTTTTAAAGTAATACAAACAGCTGTGTAGACGGAAATAGAAAGACTCACAGACACTGAAAACAAAGTACTGGTTACCAGAGAGGGGGGAGCAGTGAGGGGCATGGGGTTAAGAGACACAAAGTTATGTGCAAAACAGATAAGCAATAAAGACGCATGTGCAGCACAGGAAATTACAGCCATTATCGTGTAATAGCACTAAATGAAGTATAATGTATAAAGATACTGAATCACTCTGCTGCACGTGCATGTGTACATGGTAAGTCACTTCACTTCCGTCCAACTCTTTGCAACCCTATGGATTATAGCCTGCCAATTTCTTTCGTCCGTGGGATTCTCCAGGCAAGAACACTGGAGTGGGCTGCCATGCCCTCCTCTGGGGAACCTTCCCAACCCAGGAATGGAACTCATATCTCTTACACTTCCTGCACTGACGGGCAGGTTCTTAACCAGTAGCGCCACTTGGGAAGCCCCGCTATGCTGTACGCCTAAAACTGATATAACATATTGTAAGTCAACTATACTTCAATTAAGAAAAAAGAAAATTGTTTCATTATTTCAGTATTATCTCAAATACTGTTCAATTCTTGGATTAAAAAAAAAAGCATTCTAAATGGAGTCTAAATCATGCTACAATTTGAACTTTTTTAAGGAAATTTAGAGATCTCCCTTAAAGTGACTTAAAGACAGTGAACAGTAATTCTCATTAGCACTGTAACAATTCTTGGGAGAGGCTTTCAAAATAATACTGACTTGTAACTGAGATAAAATATCTACGCAGCCATGTGGGTTATTTCTTGATGCAAGATTTGTCCAGATTACTTCTAAATGTATTCAAAGCAATATGAGGGCAACTGTAAGGTCCTGTCTTCAGAAAGGCACTCAAATGCCTAACTTATATTCCATTTGGAAAAACTCATAAAGGTTATTTCTTGCAATTCGTCACTTCTAGATATAAAACACAGTTAAGAGTTCACAGAGGCTTAAGAGCATATGAGTACTTGTATTCCCCAAATTTAAAAAAATCAAATCTCAAGATTGATTTTCAGTGATTTGGTGTTTAAAATATTTACTTATTGAAACAGAGTTTGAAAGTACATTTTATAGCTGGAAAGAACATTTTCAGTTCGAAATTCACTATAAAGTTTACCTCAAAAAGAACATTGTGTTATCTCCAGTTTTTTCATAAACATTTTTTTAAGTGAAGGATAATTGCTTCACAGTATTGCATTGGTTTCTACCAAACATCAACATGAATCAGCCATAGATTTACCCATATTTTCCAGAATTTTTAACCATCTATTTATTAAAGCACTGTCTAGGAAAGAGACTAATTCGGAAGTGAAGGCTGCATACCTATTAGAAACATGAACAGAATCGCTGTGGAATAAGTTTAAGAACCATTTCTTTCCTGTCTCTTGAATGATTTTTTTTAATGTCATATCAAAATTACCTTGGGGACTTTTTCAAACTCTACACCCCCTCATCTGACCTCTGAGACCTTAAGATACATGGGAAAGGGGCAGCGGGTGGAGAGAGAGGAGGAAGTAGTCAGTGTTGCTGAAAAGTTCTCCTACAACCCCAGGGTGAACCACCACCCTGAAACACTTCCCTTTGTCACTCTTCCTCTCCGCACACCAGGGATTGTAAATAGCCCAGTCACCTCCCTCACTGGAGCCATTCTATTCAATCTAACTCTAAAGGTTTCTCTGGTTCCCACTGTGGTTCATATAGAGATTCCCTACAAACCTAATAAATCCAGAAATCCTCTCATCCATTCAACACATTTCCCAAGTCAGGTCCACTCCCTTCAACCACAAATCCCTAAGCAATGGATGCCATTCCTGAGGGGGAAGGATTAATTAGCCATCTTTCACGATACACCCAGGGCAGTGTTTTCCAAGAGCTTCAAGGCCTAGGGCAGTGGTTCTCAAACCTCAGCAGGCATTAGGATTGTTAGAATGCAGATTACTGAGCCTCTCCCTTCAGAGACTCTCAC